ACACATACATATTTTAAATATATAATTAATAAATATAAAATATTTAAAAATTAAATTTGGAAAAGTTGATTTTATAAACTTCAATACTTCAAATTTTACAAAATTTTAAAATTTCTATTGACAAAGTTGCTGTTTCACTGGAAAAATTCGATTTACAGTACTATGTAGTTTCATTATTATTTGAAAATGTTTCGACACTCGAGTCTCACACTTCCGAAAGCCAATGAAAGAAATTACCCAGCGAAACTAAAGTCCAATTAATTGAACAAAATAAATAGATAATATAGTAAAACAACAAAATGAAAACAGCAAAATGATAAAATTTCCAGGTCGAATGGTTCTGGAACGGGAAACCATTGCGAACCGGTACTCGTTTCCGCACTTTCTGCGACTTCGGCTTCGTGATACTCGAAATCTCGCCGATCTATCCAGAAGACTCTGGCGAATACAGTTGCCGGGCAACGAACGACTACGGCGAGGCTGTAACCACGTGCACGATGAAGTGCACTGGCAAACGAAGCATCATCCTCGAGTCTCAGCTGCCGAAAGGAATGGAAGGCACCATTGACAAGATCGCCGAGTTGGAAGGTCTTGGAAACGAGCCTGGCCAAGCGATACCGGACGACGACACCGGGAAACCACCGGAATTCGTCACAACGCCGTCTGATCTGACCCTAACCGAGAATTCCTTGGCGCACTTCGAGTGCAGATTAACACCGATCAACGACTCCAGCATGAGAGTAGAATGGTTCCACAACGGGAAGCCTCTGCTGGCCGGAAGCAGAATCAAAACCATCCACGATTTCGGATTCGTTATTTTGGAAGTAGCCAACTGTTACCAACGAGACTCCGGCCTGTACACTTGCAAGGCAACGAATCGTCACGGCGAGGCGACCGTTTCTTGCAAGCTGCAAGTCCGTGGACGTCAAGGGATCATCTTGGAGCCACAGCTGCCAACCAACTTCAAGACTGGCACGGAGAGTATTCAGAAATTAGAGGAGGCGTTGTACAAGAGGGACGAGATATTAACCGAGGAAGAGACGCCTAATCCGCCCAAGTTCACCGTGGAGTTGAAGGACATAGAAGTGGAGGAAGGAGAACCGAGTCACTTTGACTGCAGAGTGGAACCCGTGGGCGATCCTACGATGCGTATCGATTGGTTCCATAATGGAAGATCGTTCGCGACTGGATCTCGTGTACACCAGATCAACGACTTTGGATTCATCTCGTTGGATATGTCGTACACTTATGCTAGAGACAGCGGAGAATACGTTTGCAGAGCTACCAATAAGTGGGGATCTGCTACTACTAAGGCCACCATAACGTGTAAATGTAAGTAAAATTGTGGTATCGAAAGATCTTATTGGAGAGAGTGTTATATAGAGATTGTAATTACGATTTCGCGGTTATTATTCGGTTTTTTGTAAGAAAGAATATATTTGTTGGAGTTGTTTTCTCTTGTACAAGATGCGAGATATTTTTAATTCTGTTGTTCTGATCCCACGAAGATTCATATTATATTTCTATTCGTATTGTAATATTCCAAAACTGTAATTACAATAACTAAAACTCGATCGATCAATTTCATTCGTGAATAGATTATAAGTTTCATTTAAAATAATCATCATGCTTCTTTTTTTTTAAATGATCTTTAATTTTTATTCTTCCTGATAAATAGATTGTTCCTTTGCACTGCTGTTTACTTTAACGCGATAGTTTGTATAGCAATAAATTCTTAAATATTGCAGCTAAGAAGACCATAGATTTCGACTCGCAGCTGCCCTCAGGCATGAGCGGCGAAAAATTGAAAGAATTGGAACGTGGTCCAGTGAGCGAGCCACCTGCTGAAGAGCCACCACGTCAACCACCAAGATTCATTACACAGATCCAATCAGCGACCGTCGATGAGTCCGAGCCAGTTAGGTTCGAATGCCGCGTGGAACCAAAAGATGATCCAAATCTACGTATCGAGTGGTACAGAAACGGAAAATTAATCCCAGCTGGACATAGATACAGAACAATGTACGATATGGGATTCGTGTCAATGGACATTTTGTACGTCTATCCTGAAGACTCGGGAGAATACGTGTGCAAAGCAATTAATGATCTTGGCGAGGACACTACCCGGGCATCGGTATCATGCAAAAGTAAGATTTAGGAACATGATTGACAACGTGAAGTATTTTAATTATTTTTAAATCGAAAGATGTTGCTTTCCTTTTCTATAATTTTTTTTATTGTAGTATTTCATAGCTTTTCGTT